GCTGTGTGTGTCTAATTTCAAGCTGTGTCAGAATTAGTTCTTATGTCATGTGTCTAAAACCATCACTTAACTTAATCATCTATTAATTTATTTACCACTTGAAAAGTTGAAATTAGCAAATACAAGTATACTTGCCATGGTCAGGAAGATGTGCCAGGTGCGCAGGAATTTATTTTGTCATTTTAACGACCTGTGCGGTGCGCCGTACTATGTTGGTAAAAAAATGCGCCGTGCGCCGTTCTTTAGAAAGCTAAAATAGTTCTACTATTTTAGTCGACAATATACGCGAGTATATTGACTACGCGAGTCGAACTGACAATAATAAAATGTAAGACATGTCCGGGTTACTTCTGACCCTTCCGGTTGTCCGCCTTGTCGGATACGGAACGTACGGTAATTGTAAACTGCGGCTGTTATACATACAAAATGTAAACAGACGGTGTTCAGTGTTGCCATATGACTTTGGAGAAAATTTCTTCTAAAATAAAGATGGCCGGGATTGCGCGAACACGTGCGCAAAGATAATCAATTTTCATTACATTGCGCCAACTGTGCACAGCAATAGCTTAAAAAAAGTGAAAATGCGCGGGAAAATTCACTGAAAACATACGTCATCCTGAGTGTGGTATACTTGAAGGATTTCTAATATATTCACAGACTTACTATTTAAAAGTCTCAAACCATAATATTCTTTCTACACAAACAGTTTATCACTATTTGGTAGAGCAAGGTCAACTATCAACTTTGCCACGTTTTTTTATGTTCTCACTAGGGGACGTGCACTGTCTCTCTTTGGATCTTAACATTTTCCCACCAGATAGCCCAGACCTAGTGTTTTGGCAATAGTATGGCGCGCAATAGTATGATGTCACTATTTCAACCATCAATGAATGCTTAGAACAAGACAAAGCTTAATTTAATGTAAAGGAAATGAAGTTGAGAAGTGTCAGAATTACCCACGAATCACGATGTCTAGATATAACTGCGTTTATCCTACCTAACCTGAGCCATGACTTGAGAAAATTTAGTGGTTCAATAACTTGGCTAAGCTTGATTTGAATGTCTTATATCCTGTTTATATTGCTCGTCAACAAAGTACAATTTTAGAAATGTTACAAGTTTTAGATATGTTAATCTGTATAAAAAAATAGAATAAAGCGTTGACAACCATTTTCAGGATGCGTTGCCGGGTAATTTTTAATGAAAAGCCATTTACGCTGAGTTATGAAAAACTATTTACAATCCGCAAACTTATTTAAAAGATTGCATGAACGTGTTATCCCAAATATCTAATTTTACCCTAAAAACAGTCTGATTGTACTACAGCAAGTGTCAACTGAACATGTGATAATGCAGTCTGACCGCTCTAATGTGACTGCAACTACGCAATCTTAAACTTGTTATTTTCATTGGCGTGGGACATTTTGGCAGGAACTTATCGCAACTGATTTCCAGACAAGCTTCACTGCATCCTGATCCATTCAACTTACCAGAAACCTTACTTTTTTCTAAATAGTTGACCAAAGACTGACAAATATATTAAATGAAAGAATCTCAATCAAAATGTGTAGGCAAGATCTTTTGAAGGCGCAAATTTAGCTACTGAAGCGTCACCAAAGATCTTGCAATATTCATCCACACTCTGCACAGTGGCCCATGCCATGGTCTACCTAGTTGGGAAAAGTCCTACTTTTTTCTGAAATATTGCAGAGCTCTAATAGCTATCACTTAATATCAGTAGTTATGAAATCTTACGCTCTAATTTCATGTATTTTTGTTTGATTAAAAAAATCCTGGTTTGAAATTTGCAAACACATAATTTCAGAAAATTAGCAACTTCCACAGTAATTCAATGCTCTTGCCAAAATATCCTGCATACTAGTGCGTAGTGCACTGCATAATGTCATGTCAATGAGTCAACCCAAAATGGGTTGTTGAAGATTGCAAAGTTGCAATTATAGGTCAGGCGGTCAGACTGCATTATCACATGTTTGGTTGCCACTAAAGTAAATAAACATTTTATTGTTGCTCAGTTGCTGTTTTTAGGATAAATTAGAGATTTGGGATAACATGTGCAAACATATCGCCAATCAAGAACACATTTTTTTGGGGGGGTAAACATACAATTTTTGAACACAAATTAAACCTATGCATTGCTGAATAAATTTATGAATGCCAATGTTAAACAATCAAAATAAAATTCATTAAACTCAGTTAATGTAGAAATTCATTTATAAAAAAAATCTTTTTAGTTTTAACACACCTCTGACACTCCAGACAACAGTGCGTCTAGCACATGCATCGACAACCACACGTTGCGTCAGTTGAAATTGTACTGCCTGCAACTGTATACCGACTACAAGCATCAAGCTATATTTCACATTCAGCTGGGACGTTCAGTTCAGATTTAATTTGTTCATTCATGAAAGAAATAACTCATTCGTTTGTCTGTAGCAGAGATGTTCATGTGCTCGTCCGGATTTGGCTTTCGATTTAGTTCCTGATATAGAGCAAAGTATGCGTTGAGGGATTTTTTACAAATGATCCGACGCTGTGTACAATTTTTTTAAAGAAACTTACAGAATGAAGTTTCATAGCACATTTTAGATGCAAAAGTTTATTAAATCAAATGTGATTTTTACCAAATTAAAAATGAAACTATTCACTCACAATGCCCTTCGGTGAGCAGGGTATTTCTGTTTCTGCTTTGATTTTAAGGGGAGCGTCTACCCTAAAATTGAAAATTTTCACTTTTTCGGTTTTTATACTCATTTTAAAGCTGACATTCTGCCCTATCCAACGGTACCACTGCCATATCTGTACGTTGATTAATGATTTCACGACATTTCATGAAAGGGGGGCGGGTGGGGGAGAAGATGAAGACCTCACGCATCGAATGATATGTGTCTCGATGTTGTAGCTTGGAAATCCTAGGACTAGATCCATTTCTACAGTACCCCCTTTTATAGCCGTTTTCTAAGAATTTCACATTTTCTTTCATTTTTTTTCGAAAAATTCACACCAACAAAATGCGAGTTTTTTTCCATTTTACATATGTGTACCAAGTTTCAGAGTGATCCGACTGTAAATAGCCGAGATAATTTTTAGGGTAGACGCTCCCCTTAATGAATGGGCTAAATGATAATTTTTTGCACTTCTTCCTGCATAAGATCTTTAAATCTGAATTGTTCTTGACATAAGTAAATATGTATCTATTTATTGACAATACGCTACCTACTGTAGGCGCTGGAAGACTTTTTATTTTTATTGGCACTCCAGCTTTTTTTATTAAACTTGGCACATAAATCATTTCAAATCAAAACCAATTATGACTCAATTAATAATGAAGATGTTTGTTTACAATATGCTGTTACAAACGTTGTAAGAATTTACCCTTTATTTTAATTTTGTGTCAGCTTCATTTTTGCATGTATATATACCTATACCTCTTGGACACAATAACGGCCTGACATGCAGCAGGTCTACAAGTTTCAGTGAACCTTAAATATCTCCCAAATTAAAGAACGCATCTTGATGAAACTTTGCGCACATGTTCAATAGGGCCGTCTTTTTCTATTAATACGGGAAAGCTTGTGCACAAGGATAAGATATTTATTAGGCTCACTGCAAATTTAGGACTGAATAACTTGCACAAGAAAACGAAATTGAAAAATTGTTCATGGCCTGAACATCAGTGTTAGGTCTTATTGAACGTATGTACAAATTTTCACCAAGCTAGTGCACACTAGCTTGACACCAAGTTGCACACTAGTGTTGGCTTAAAAATGTGATTGACAGAATTTGCATATCCCATTCCAAAAAAAAAAAATGATGGCCATTTCTGCAAAACGGGGTAATAAACGACACCCCCCTGGGTAATAAGGTACACCTCTAAAATTGCATTTACTGTAAAACCTTGGTTAGCAAAGGCTCCAGTCAATGAAAAAATCAATTAACAACAAAGAATTTTGATTACATTTACCTTGCTCTGTGAAAAAAATTTAACTTGATAAAAAATTACTGCATCAGTCATCACAAAATTGTGCAAAAAAATCACAAAATCAAATTGTGCACCAGGCAATATAGAAGAAAAGTAATTAACCTAAACTATGATTTATTTCTCCAAAAAATATAAAGGTTGTCACTAGAATATTCCTTACTGTTTCTGGTGTGTTTTCCAAATATTTTTTTTTTTTTGTTATAGTGAATTCACTTGACCCAATTAAAATGGTGTGAAATTACAAGCCATCCTGTAAGCTTACAGCTACAGAAGAAATGCAACAGCCCACATGGCTGCTGATAGGAAGCTTGCAGTGGACAAGGTTGTTGTAAAAGCTCAATGGCATGCCCATGGATACGGTAATATCCATGGACATCCATCAATAATATGGTAATATCATTTCAATTAAATAAAAAACAAGAAAAAATTGTAGAAAATGTCATTTATTCTACATCTACATTATCTGCTATGGTAGAGAAGGACTTCAGAGTCCTGTTAGTATTAGATGAGTAGGTACACTCTGCATGCTTCAAATGTTTTAAAATTAGGTTTTATTTCAAGTGTCCCAGATTATCCCGTTGCCAGTGGTAATTCGGGATGCTTTTATTTTGCGTCAGGCACCTTACGAATAGCATATGGAATTTTTTGAAGATGCCATTTGATAGCCCTCGCAAAGAGCTATAAAAAGAGCCCAAACTTGTTTATGAAATGTTCCATGGTAAGAATTTATTAACAAAAAACACTCAAAGCCGTCCCTTATTACCTACCCCATTTGTCAGTAGCACTTGTCATTTCTATCTTGGTGCATAACGCCAGTTATATATATATAAAATGAACCTTCTCAGCAAACAATCTTTAAAGTAAATTTGACCAACCAACCTTGGAGACAGATTTTCCAATGGAAATTTTATTGTAGACTAGTTACATCCTTGCATTTTGTTTAATTTATGGTATTCTATTAGATTTTTTCTGATTTTGATGGATGAAATATTTCTTGCAGGGGAGGCGAAAAATTTATCTCCTCGGAGCCATGGCAGTGTGGGTGTCCGGGACGTCTACTGCGTATTGTCTCTTGACCAGGAGCAAATTTTCAGATCAGCTACCATTGAAAAAACTCTTGAGTAAGTTTGTTGCATCTTATAATGAAATTGGAGTTTTTTTCCAGTGAACCTAATCTCTCAAAAACATGCATTTCAACAACCATGCTTCATATGTCTCAACTTGCAAAGTAAACTTGAGAATTCAATTTAATATATTTACATTTATAGTTGTTTTTATAATTTAGCAAATGGTCACTTATTATCCAAACTATGTGTTAGAATGTCTTTTTTATTATTCATTTGTTGAATTAGTTGCTACATGGAAAAAGCAGGTTCCCTTAATTTTTCATGTATTATATAAATTTATGGAAATTTTCATCAGTCCTGTTTTTAACTTGACTAAGGAAACCTGTAACTTTTCTTATTATCACACACCAGCCTGAGAGTTCTCTATATGCATATCATTTTTATTTAAAGCTTCTATTAATATTTGCACCTTAATTTTACCATAAATTTAAATTAATGAACAACTTTTAAGTATCTGTAGTTGTTACATTAATGACTTGATGTTTTCCAAATATTGAATTCATGTACATGTATTACAGATAAAGAAAATATTAGATTATTTACTGCAAGTGTACAAATGTACATTTAATTTAAAATAGAAATTTTCCCTGTGTATCTAAATCCTTTTAATGAAATTGTTATTTGATTTCAGCCCATTTTTTGGTGAAGAGTTCCAATTTGACATTCCAAGAGAGTTCAGATTCCTGTGTGTGTACGTGTATGATCGTGACCGACCAATGAAGACAGACAAGATTGTAGGTAAAGTCTCCATCAAGAGAGAAGATCTCAGTAAACAAAATGGCAAAGACCAATGGCTTGCCATCACTCCTGTTGATGCTGACTCTGAAGTCCAGGTAATGATGCAATTTAATTTTCATTATGGTGTTTGGTATTATTATAATCCATTATGGTGTTTGATATTTTGAAGCATACCCAAGCTTTATTTTAAAAGACCAGATTATGTTATTATGAAGACACTGGAAGTATTTACTTTCACTCTGAATTTTGGATATCACTAGGAAATGCCTAATTGGGTTGACCATCCTGAAAATCATTGTTTGTTGCATTCAAGTTAATCTTGTTGTGCCATGTTTTTATTTGTCCTGTTCAATAAAGATTCCCATGACAAGAAATGGGAAAAATAAATAAAATTCTTTTCTTATATTGTTAGAGGAGATTAAAATTTAAAGCCATATTGAAACCATGCATCTTCTTAAATTCATAAACCTCAATTTGTAATTTAAAATTGGGATTGAATTTTCTTGTTTCATAACAATTTTTAATGGAAATATAGCCTCGATCTTGAAATTGTATCCCTTTGATTTGACTGTTCTGCAACATGCTTATGATTTTCTTGCTTCAATTGATGAAAAATGTTCAACACTAATCTTCTCCCAGGGGAAAGTTCATGTCCGCATCCAACTGAAAAGCTTGAGACACATGAACGATGCTGCTCCTCAGCCTATGGTTGAAGTCAAGTGAGTGCATTCTATTAAATCTCAAATCATCTCTTCTGTAAGTTTTCTTTGCTTCAATATCACTTTTAATTGATTCGAAAAAATTTTAAGTTTCAATTATTTTTTGTATACATATACAATTTTACCTATTTTTCAAATAAATAGCTACACCATGATTGGATCCAAATTGATTATATTAGAAAATGACATTACGGAGTTGAATAAATTTGGCACTGAGTGAAGTTAATTATTCCAGAAAGGATTTTCTACGTTGAAATGTTATTTGCAGGATTGAGGAGTGCAGCGACCTGTGTATTGTGAACGGCTCGTGCGATCCATATGCCCAGGTGACCATGCATTACTCCAACAAGAAACAAGAGAACAAAAGAACTAAAACAAGGAAGAAAACAGTCGCTCCACACTTCGATGAAACTTTCTTTTTTGAGGTGAACATTATTTTTGCAGTCATGTTCAAGTGAGATTTACTCAAATACATGGTACTCATTTGTGACGAGCGTTTCCAGTTTTGAATACCTCACTCCAATGTTGTCATGTATATATTGATACAAAGATTGATTGAGATTTTAATTTCACTTTCAACATTGGCTTTCTTTGGATCACCACTTCAACCTCAAAATTCTGTTTTCATTTGTTGAACAAGATTGAAATGCAAGATTCATTGAAAATTTAATAGAAACTTGATTAACCTAAATGATGCCAATTAAAAATGCAAGTTGTACTTCTGTTCAGAAGCAACGTATTTTTATTCCAGTCACCGGGTGGACGACATCACTCAGGGGACGGCAGCTGCACTTACAATGTTGGTGGTGGAGCTGTCAATGGCAACAGCCTTTACTCTGAGGAGGTTGCTGGCTTCCAGTGCCTACAAGTTCGTCTAAATTATCCATTAATGGCAATTAAGATTGAAATAAGTGAAGGCTTTTTGTGTGATACATGTTAGCAAGACGAATTGCTGTTCAAAATGAGAAATATTTGCTTTGTTAGAAAAAAGAGCTTGCTGGAATATATTGCCTTGATATCACTATATTTATATCATAAGCAGAAAAATATAAGAAATTATATTTTTTATTTGGTAAACAGTTGAATAAACTTTATTACTTGACCAGGGATAAAATTTTCTATTTGGGAAGTTAGTGTTATAGTTTTTGTTTGATTGAAACCTAATGTGTCATGCTGACAACAGGTGGTGTTATGGCACGAGTCTGCGGGCATGTTTGGGAACGTCTTCTTGGGAGAGCTGAGAATACCTCTCCAAGGGCTCACTGCTGGCAGAGAAATGAACGCTTGGTGAGTTACTGAAGCCATGGTGTCATTCTAGCAATAGTGCTTTGTATATTCAAGATTTATCTATCTTGGTAATTTAAATTAGTTCTAAAATGTCAGCTCTCAGTATGAAAGACGAGAAATATAGCTTCAGATTTTTAAATCCTATTTGATATGTGCACTTGTTCTTATATCCTCCCTTCTGAATCCAACTTGACTGCAGCTACCCGATGCCAACAAACTTAAAAATCTGATATTATTCAAGCCATGTATAATGTACAAGATGGCTGTGGTTGTGGTCCTGAATAAGTTGGTCCTGCGGTGTGATAAAAAACCTTTATAAACTGCTATGCTATGCCCTTTAAATTTTTAAATTGGTTCCATATGCATTTGATTCTCATACCTACTATATCTATGTATTAAACTATTACGACTTTAACTTATATTCAAGAGATTGGAAAAAGAGATTTTGCTAGATTAATTTGTGCAAAGACAATGATTATTCCATTGTGGAAGCTATTTTCTTGGGCCTCCCTACAAATAAAAACATTTTTTATTATTATTTCTCATTTCCCATTGCTAACTCTGTCTTTTAGCGCATTTTCTCATTTATGGAAAAAAATTCACTATTGTGCTCGCCATGTCCGTCTGTCTGTCTGTCTGTCCATCTGTTCGTCGGTCCGTGACCTCAAGTTTTCGTCGACGAGAAAATGCTCTCTCTGTCACTCACTGCAGTGAGTACTGAGTAATGAGTTATATTTTTTCTCCATTCATGTAGTATCATGTGTTATCATGCCGCTAGAATATGTTTGTTGTTGCAGGTATTTGCTGCAGCCTCGCGAGGGCGCCGGCGTGCGCCACAGCTCAGGCAGCAACAGCAGCAAGAGCTGCGGGCTTGGGTCCCTGCGGCTCAACATCCACTACAGCTGCGTCCACGTCTTCCCCAGTCCGCTCTATGATAGTCTCCGCTCACTCCTCGTGCAGACCGCCACCGTCCAGGTCTGGTCTCTTCTTCTGGTCTTGTCATTAACATGATTGGTTTCTTTGAACTCTCACTCTTGAAGAAGCGCTGTTAACTAGCCGTACTACTTTTCAGGGAGCTTCTGTTACCTAACTTTTATTCTCAATTAGTTTTTTATGCGAAAATTTAACCTCGTTTGGGTATGGCTCCCTGGCAATGCCATTGTGTTTATAGTTTTTTCTGTTGCGGCTGTGAAAAAACAGGCTTTTGTCCTACAATTTTGGTTAAAGGACTTGTAAATTTTGTACTTTTATCTGTCACTGAAACTAGACCTTCTAATCAGCTGTTGGTCTATGAGACTCATTCTCAGTAGCATTGTAAAATGAACTACTACAGTTTACATGCACCGCCAGCTTTCATGTAGATTTTGTGCTAATGAATGGCCTTTTCCAGCCTGTGAGTGCTTCAGTTGGTTGGCTGGTGGGTGAAATTTGTGGGAACAACAAACAGGAGGCGGCGGTGCCGCTGATACGCGTATTGCTGCAACACAACCAAGCCGTCGCCTTCATCGCCAACCTCGCCTCGCACGAGATGCAGCATGTCTCGTGAGTACCTCTTACGTCTGCACGAGATGCAGCATGTCTCGTGAGTACCTCTTACGTCTGCACGAGGTGCAGCATGTCTCGTGAGTACCTCTTACGTGTGCGCGAGGTGCAGCATGTCTCGTGAGTACCTCTTACGTCTGCACGAGGTGCAGCATGTCTCGTGAGTACCTCTTACGTCTACACGAGGTGCAGCATGTCTCGTGAGTACCTCTTACGTCTAAACGAGGTGCAGCATGTCTCGTGAGTACCTCTTACGTCTAAACGAGGTGCAGCATGTCTCCTTGGTATCCTTAGTATTTGTTTGGGACGTAGCAGTCCCAGGCCACGATGGATCGCCGCCTCTGATTATCGCTCATCCGCCCTCATTTGGGCCAGCTGATGCACGAGGCTGTTGCTTGCTTCTCGCCACTGGTAGTGTTGCAGGGGAGGTCGATCTGGGATTGTGCCCAGGAACACGTCCAGTCATCTCTTGAAGGTCTCCAGAGTGAACTCCCCCTCTCTTAGATCCTTTGGCAGGACATTAAACAGCCTCGGCCCTTACACGGAAAGTGATCCTTCCCGCAGGAATTGAAATCTGACTGCAGATCTGTTACGTAGTACGTAATATCTTGCACAGTACTGTTGAACCTTATATTCGATGCAGCTTGTCTCTAGTTCGCCTTACACAAGCATGCAATTTACGAATATGAAATTAGGTTAATTTTTGTTTCGTTGCCTACTTGTCGGACACTTAGATCTACATTGTGTTTTCTGCCGTCAGTGACCCGAACACGATCTTCCGCGGCAACACACTCGCCTCCAAGTGCATGGACGAACTCATGAAGCTTGCCGGCCACCACTACCTCAAGCAGACGCTCAAACCAGTCATAGACCAGGTTTGCAGTTGCCCACTCAGCCTTTGCTAGGCTGAATTTCTAATTTTATATTGACTTGACTCAAGTTTTCAAATTAGTTCTCGCATCAAAAAAGTTTTTGGCTAGATTTTGCAATGATCGCTCTTGACGATAAGAATTTTAATTGCTCTGAAAGCATTGTTATTGCTTGCTTGAACCCGCCATGGTATTATCTGTTCACGTTGTTTCCGGGGTTCGAATGAATGGTTATATGTTCTCTGTTTGAAATGTTGACTAATTAGTTCTTAAACGGCTGTAACTTACACAAATCCGTTCCCAGTTAGTTGCGAGTTGTGTTATAATAACTGTTTTTTGATAGGTAATACGTGAGAAGAAGCCCTGTGAAGTGGACCCTGCCCGCATCCCGCCCACTGAGAACAGGGAGACCAACCTAGCCAACCTCTGTGTACGTTGTATTCCGAATTAATTCTCGTGCGAATCTCATCAAACCTTTTCGCTTAACTTTTTAACTTAATTTTTCATTTCATATTCCGTATGACAATTCCACTCATAGGTTCAATGTTCACTTTTTTTGCTATCGCTGCTTGTTTTGCTTAACATTATTACCTCTGAATTTGCTGTTCCCATATTCGATTCAAGTTTGAAATTCAATTTTCCCCGTTTTTATGTCTTGAAGATATGCCTGTATTTATTATGAACTTCGAGAAATTTAAGATAAAACTTGTTGCTTTTTGCAGGAGTACACAAACGCCATCCTTCGGTGCATCAACAATTCAGCTCTCAGCTGCCCGCCCGTCATGTGCCAGCTCTTCTCTGAGCTGAGGGAAAACGCCGATGTTCACTTCCCAAGTCAGTGCCTCATTTGAATATTTATATCATTGATTAGAATACTAGGTACTAACTCGAATCGATTTACGGCTGGAGAATACTCAACTGGTTTGGTGTTTCTCATAATGTTTCAACTGGTTTCTTTTTTAGTTTTTTTTTAGTGTTTTAATGCAATAGGCATTTCATCAGCTCCCGTGTCTTTCGAATTTACATGTCTCTGCTCCCTCTTCAACTGAAGTTTAATATATTTTAGGACAGGATCTTGAAGTGTTATTACGCTCAGGAGTCAGCAATCTGACAGTTTGTATGGCTTCTTTGGTCCCCGACAGATCAACGCGAGGTTCGCTACTCCGTCATATCGGGCTTCATTTTCTTGAGATTCTTTGTTCCTGCAATCCTGGGACCGAAGCTTTTCGATATCACATCAGAACAAATCGTAAGTGCAGATACTTTCCAGATCTATGTAAACTAACTATTAGAGTAAAATCAATAATTATTATTACAATAAACATGTTATACATAAACACAGACATACAACAAAACTGCAATATTCTCCCAGTAAGATCAACAGAGATCTTCTTGGCAGTATTTATCTCAAAAGCATTTTAAGCTCTTCGTGCCGATTGCAAATTTGTCCTCTCTGGCGACGAAAAAAAAATAATAATTTCTTCCTAGTTGATGTTGATTCCATTTTCGAAAAATGTCTTTTTTTAACGTCCATAGGTTTCCAAATATTTCGGGCAAGCAACAACTTATGTCGCCGGTCGAATTTTTTCCCGAAAAGTAATAAAATATTCAAGCATTTGTTTGGCGGTTTGTTGGGCTCATGACACGCGTGTTTACCTCCAGGACCTGGGCACAGTGCGCACTCTGACGCTCATCTCGAAGACGGTGCAAGGTGTAGGCAACCTCGTGAGCTCCCGCAACTTGCACCACACCTGCAAAGAGGAATACATGCGTGAAGTTTTCTCCCTGTGCACCAACAACAAACTTGTTGATGCCGCTAGAACAGTGAGTGTACAGTCTATTGCTTTGTATTTTGTTGGTTTTTATGTTGTGGATGGCATTTGAGTCGTAGTCAATACGGCTTCCAATAGCTCGCTACTTTAGCGACAAGTTGTTTCACTAGTCTAAGGAAGTTAAGACTAAAAATGTGCATCATGTAGAAACATTTCCTTAAGAAAAATTTGTGTTTTGCAATAATGTATTGAGTGCCGCCGTCACGGATGGTGATTTGCTCCTTGATTTCCAATTTATTACATTTCATGTACTTGCGTAATCAACTGTTGAATATTAAATAATTAGATGATGCAAATTTAAAACTTAAAAACACAGGTCAGCTCATTTCTGCTTCTAATCTTTGCAATATTTGTAAAAATAGTACCGGTAGTAACAATATCTTAAATAGGAAAGAATAGTAAATAGTCTGTTTAGGAGTTGGATTTGCTTCATTTCAAATACTATAATCTATTTCTATTTCTGGAATACAATATGCCTGACATCTTTCATTTCTTATTCTGCAATATTTTATTTCCCTGCAGTTTTTGGAGATCATCTCTTCAATTCCTAACGGCAATTTGAAGGCTTACGACACCCCGATTACACTGCGCGAAGGGTGAGCAGACATGGTCGAACTTAGGGTGCCTTTGGCGTGTTACTGCCAATGAATTATTATTCATTGGCATCATTATTATTCATTCATTAATTATTAATTAATTATCAAACAGTATTTGAATAAGAAATATGAAGTGTAGGTTGTCTTGGCTCAGTACTTGATCACTGTATACCCAAGATCATTGTCCCATTGATAACTATGTTGACGAGTCAGGAAGTTTGAATAAGGTACAGATCTGTAAAGTCAAAATTGGGCTATTTTATCGATAAAACGGTCAAAGGTCACCAGCTACGGTCTATTTTTTAGTATACTGAAGCCACTGCCCGTCGTAGGTATGCATTTAATGTTTTTTGTACGAATTATGTACGTACACAATGCAGCAGTTGATGATGGTTTGGTACATTACTGAAGTACGCCGTAAGGTTTTACTCTTTATGTAGGATTTCTTGGCCCTGAGTGGTTATTTTATCTGTTATTCTTTTCAATCCCAGTTCCACCTGGACCACAGGTAAGTTTTGCCACATCAAACGGGAAAATTAGATGCAAAAATGCATGAAAAATGTTTTAATTTGTAAACTTCACCCCATTGAATGAAAATTCAACTTATGTTTGTTTACTTTTGCCACATTTGACACGATCTACGCTGGAATCAAAATAATTTATTGATAAGTTACAATGGTTTCTTCGTTATTTTAATTGTGTTGATATCGTTTGCATTAGTTGTGTGTTTGTTTGCCTGTGAATGGTTGTACCTCAGTTAAATATTCTTCATCATGCTATTCAATAAGTTAAATTTTACAAAATTATTAAGTTTAGTTGCCGGTATATTCTGCTAAAGATCCTGCAGGCCGTGTTTCTCATTCTCTATTGTAGCAGTGCATTGTGAACCGTCAGGTGATTACTGGATTTCATTTTTTCTCTTGCATGTAAACACTTGGCATATTTGTTTCACCATTCCGTGTAAATAGTTAAATAATTCGCTTTAAAGATAAATGTGACTAGGTTGCTTTCTTATCTGAGTTTTCGCACATGTTCATGTCTGGAAATGTTATTGTTTAATATTATTTGTGGTAATTTGTTGCTTCTTTGCTGTTCTAAATTTTTACCATCAGCTGCCCCACCAGACACGGCGGACCTTCATGTCTGAACATTCCTGAGCTAGTTTATGTCACTGTGATTCCTTAGTTAATTTCAATATTAAAACGGCGATTATTGTTAGATCATGATGCTAAAATGATAGTGTGGCTTGAAATTGGTATTAGTAGGAACTTTTTACTCTTAATTAGGCTAATAACAAATTTGGTTCTATGTTCAGTGTGATGATCAAACGGGCCCAGGGTCGCAAGAAGTTTGGCCTGAAGAATTTCAAGACCCGGTTTTTCCGTCTCAACACTCGCAGTCTGACCTACGCCAAGAGCAAAGGCAGCGGACCGCTCTGTATCATTCCTGTCGAAGATATTCTGGCGGTGGAACCCGTTCAGGAGAGTTCTTTCAAGTGCAAGAACATGTTCCAGCTTGTTCAACCCAATCGCACTTTGTACATTCAGGTAGGGCGTTGCTCTAGTAGAGCGGTATGGGTCTTTGTGGGTTGGGGTATTTCATCCTGGAAGTTGGAAAATCTGTTTCACGAAGTTGCTGATCATTACATGGGCACTGAATTGCAGAATTTTAATAGTCCTATGGTAAATTTGCCATGTCATTTCTGTTTCAATTTGGTCACATATTTTCCATGAAGACCTTTGATTTAAAGCACCCAACTCTCGTCAATTGATAATATAATACGTGCCGCAGCTTATTTTGATACATTAGAATATGCGGATTCATTTGACTTGAGAAATGCTTGCATTTCAGGCGGCTAACTGCGTTGAGGAGAAGGAGTGGCTTGACTTGCTCACTAAAGTTTGTCAATATAACAAGCACCGCCTGAAGCAGTACCATCCTGGCGCCTACCTCAACTCCCACTGGCTCTGGTACTGTACAGCTGGTCGTGGTACCACGTAATTTCTTAAGCATTAGATACGGCATGTTGGTTTATTACCGCGCACTAGTACCTTTTGTAAATTCATTCTAAGATTAAAAAAAATCGTTTTTGTGTCAATTTTTCTGAGATATTTTCCAGATCTCCAATTAAAAAACTAAATATTATGTCTCACACGTTTGTCTGCCAGCTTTGTTTTTCTTCAGAGATAGTTAATTTTTTCCTAATTTTGATCACATTTAGTCAAGATTGTTTTCTTATTGATGTCATTTTATTTGTAACCGTGACTTGGACTATTGGCTGTACAGCTGCAAAGCTACGAGCGAGAACGCGGAAGGCTGCAGCGCCGTCTCCAATTACTTGGATGAAGACCTCAACATTCAAATCGATGCTGAGCGAGAAGTGGAGTGCATCCTGGGCCTCCTGCTGGCTAACCAGCACAAGCTCAAGAGCCTACTCGGTAAGAAATATGATATTTCACTTGATAATTTCATTGCACATCACAATACTTTTACTTTGATGATGATACTTTTACTTTCTCGAAGCAATATTACTACTGTGATGTCCGATTATTGCTGTAGGTTAGATTTTGCTGGCCGTACGTTCTACGAGTGAATCTAATCAATCATTTTTAACATGAAATTTGCGCCTGAAGTGCAAAGTTGCCTTCATAATAAGATCGAGTCACGCATTGCGATGTTGATGAGGAATTTCTGGGTGTAGAGCTGTGCAGCGATGAGTCGCCCGTTGTCGGGGACTGCAAGCTCGAGGATCCTAACGCTACGCGCGCTTGCATCAAGAAGCTCGTGGACGCGATCACGACCCTGCAGCAGCACCACGTGGCGCACTGCAACGCCCTCAGGAACACCAACAGGCCTGGCTCTAAGTAAGGCCTATTCAGTCGCTCGTGCAGGCAACAATGTTCTCTTAACAACATGTAATGTGTGGTGACAATAATATTGATGTAAGAAATGTATTTTGTTTGAGCTTATGAAAGGTCTGCTGCCTTTCTAATTCTACGTTCTCATGCTTGGTTTCTTTCTCAGGAGGTTTTTATTTTCTTACAAATTCATGTTGATCAATGAGCTGTCAATTCCTAAAGAGAGATAATGAACATTGGCGTATGTAAGTTGCACCTATCTCTGTCCTGTCTTAGTCTGTTCTTGATTTAGCGTTTCTCGCTTTGGATCCGCCTCTAGTTTAATAGCTAAAGCGCCAGTAAGCCCTCTGATCGTGACACTAGGTAACTCGAACTCGCTCCGTAGCTCTTTTATTTATCACTGAAAATCATTTCTTCTGAACAAGATTGTTTGCCGTGACTACGGACAACAAATGATTATTATCTCAAACAAACAATACATCAGCTAATAAATCGTACCCGCGAGTTGATGTATACCTCTTTTCCAGGCAAGCGCCAATCGGAGATGATAATTATCTGATGCTCACCTCCAATTTTGGTTACGAAGAAAGCGTCATATGGGACACCGGGCAGCAGCACGACCCTAATGCTGGGCGTCAAAATCCAACCACTTCTGATGGCGAGACACAGCTACGAAACCTTACCACCAACGCCACAGCTACAACCGGTGCCCTCACTCTACACGACGCCAATTCGTTGAAGAACGTCAATAATTCGTCAAACTTGACCATCAGCAATATCCGAGACAGTATTAAAAAGAACGCTAATAACAACATTAAACGTTTACTGAATACTAAGGCTAATCACACCATTAGAAGTGATAACCAAGGACAATTCTTTTCGGGAAGTGAGCCTGCGTCCAAGATCGTCAGTGAATCGAACGAGCTTAGTGACTCTCCCCGTGCACTCGTGCCTTCGTTGTCTGGATGTGTGGCGCCTGCTCTGGCCACATGCGTCTCACCTGCTCTTGCCTGTTGCGCCTCAACTGCCGTCACCACGAGCTGCATCACAACGAGCCGCGTGGCGTCGTCCCTCACGTGTTCAGTCACTCCCAATTGCGAGGGTGTGTGTAAGAGCAACTCAAATTTTGAAACATTTCATGCTACAAATTCAGAAACAGATCAAGTTAATGTTACACCACCTCAGAGCCAGAGATCAGAAGTGGGAAGTAACAACAAGCGTAGCAATGATGCGGTAGAGCAATGCCTTGGCACGATCGCGGATGCTGTCAAATCCAGTGCTGAGTTCCTTCACAAAGCTGAAAGAAATGTCGGTAACTCAAATGACGACTCGCAAAGTGGAGTTCTCCTTGCCAAATTTAAGCTAACGAAGCAAAATTCACTCGAAAACGCTGGAAACAATAACTATTCCAGCTACAGTCGCTCTTATTCGGACTATTCTAACTGCTCTTTACCTCGCCCGTCTACTATGACGAGACGTTCTACTCAAACACATCTCGACTCCTCTAGAAGAAGTCCTGATTATGTGAACATTTCGAGTTTTTCTCACGATTGCAGTGATCTGACTACAATCTTGGCAGATGACATGGATTTAGATCCTATGGTAAACGCTCCTGGTGAAAACGGATCGGAAGCTATGGAAGTTAGCAGCGACGAAGCTAATAAGCATCTTTCTCGACCAACTTCTATTCAAGGAGCTGCCTCCAATGACGGGTCCGTTCTGTATGCCACAGGTGTTGATCAGAGCTGCCGAACGACGTTCCAGCAGGTCACGTCCGACCTCAAACTTCCCGGTTCCCAAACTCCATTAAGAGAGAATTTGAAATTCGGTACGTCTCCCTTGAATTCGCTCGTGTGTTCTTCTCAAAGCAGCAGTGACGGATCATGTGTGAATGAAGACGCCAGGACAGCGCAACACACGCCTCTCACGACCCAAGACAAATGGCATGCAGACACATTCGTGTTATCTGACAACAAATTTCAACTCGCTGCTAACGTTACTCATCGTCAAGAAACGTTGGACAACAGATTAAATGGCAACGTGCAACGTTTTTCAATATGATAGTTGTACTTCATCTACTATAGGAACCTATTTATCTATACTGTTTTCTTTATTGCCTAAACGTAGGGACGGAAATAATGTTAATAATTGTTTTTTTTTCAATTTCCTGATATTAGATTTTTCAGGAAGTCCACGAACGATACTTATTATGTGAATAAATATTGTCTCTTGCATTGAAGTGAAAATGAAGACGAATCATACACTTAAAAAAAGTGTGATGATTCGATTTGAACGTTCCTCGATTTGGAAGTTCCGAAATTTTTCCCGCTTTGAAGGAACAAGCAAGGTTTACATTTTGTTCGAACTCCACGGAACTGCTGTTCAAGATACCATATGTACCTGAAATCACTTCTTTGCCATACCCACAGCACGCCACAGGCTGAGTGATGCATAGTTTAGTGTGTGCAGTCTTGGAACTCACAGCTTTAGTTCCCTGAATAGTAAACTTCGCCTCAGTATGACAAAAACAAAACAGTTAAAATACGTTTCCAGAGCTTTATTTGTTGTTCTGTGTCAGTGCTCATACACCCGCTCTATTCCCTCAATCAAACTTGTGGAGATAAACAGTGATTATAAATCGTACAGTTTTTGTTGTATTCTAAAGATGCTTGAGTTATTTGACCTCAATGTGTTGGTTGGACGGATGGCTTTTAATGAAGTGGTTCTCCTGTGACTCACTTGGTGAATTTTAAGTCAAGTAAATGCTGCTGTACAATCCAATGGCTCAACTCGCAGATTCTCTTCTTTTCCAATAAGCATAGTTGAGATTTTTGTTCTCGTAGCAGTTGCTCTATCCGTTAATATTTCTCACATATGTAATACTCGTGGTTTGAGCATTCATCGTATGAAGTGAATGGTGAATAAGTTAAAAATCATTTATTTGTTGAATTTACTGTATTTATTTGGACTACTATTTTTCGTGAATGACTCGCTTCATTTGGAACGAAGATTTGCATGTATGATTTGACTTTATTGAGCAACGGAATGTATGACGTTTCTCTCGATAATTTCTATTCCGAAATCAAATTACCATTTTAATTTCATTTGATTCTAAAATTGGTGCTAGCAAATCTATTAACAGAAAATATAAAATCAATGCAAACCAGATGGATGACTGAAATTTCTTAGAATGATCACCCTAAATTTACCTACTTATTATGATTATGTAGTTAACATGTTTCTAAAGTTGTACGATATTATCGTCCTCCCTAATACGAAGATCTCCAGACTTCTGATTTGATGTGACCTCGAGTACATATTTCTGCTATTTATTCCATATTATCTACGCTCCTTTTAAAATAAATACAGATATTATTTTCGCGCTAAGTTACTTCATAGTTCTAGAATAATGGTAATATCTACTTCTTTGTTATGGTCTTTTTTGTACAGTGAATGTTGGTTCACTTGACTGCGTGTCTTGCTAGTGCAAAACAGTGTCGGCTCTGCTAATTTAATGTGCATGTTTCTCCGCTGCAGCCTCCTCAGTCTCAGCAGAGTGGTGTCAGTTGCATAGCATATTTTTCTATCATTAAATATTTTTATTATATGAGATTTCAATGATCCAGACGTATTTTGAAATTGACGGATTCCCATAACAATCGGGCCTCTTGGTTTGTGCATTTACAGTTGCTGTTCATACTGAAGGATTAAAATTCTTGCCTGTGTCGCGTTGTTGTCAATTTTACTGATTGTTTATATCGTATTTATTTTATAGTGCCACGATCTTCTGACTTGTAATTTATTGGCAGGACAATGAAAACCTGCTGTTCTATTGAAATGTATTCATGAATCATGAAGCTGCTTATCATGTTTTATCTACGAAAAATTAACTTGTTATGTGGAAATAATGTGATTGCAATATTTCTAACGTGATACTGTAATTAATAAGATGGATTAAAACGTTTTTCTTCCCATTCGTCTGTTTGTAAATTTGTAGGTACTTAGAAGTATTTTTTTATCTCGATATAAATTTTTTATTTAAAGTCATGAAATCACTTGTGCCGGCGCCGGATATCTATTAATTTCCGTACTTATATGTAGCTGAGCCATGGAATATGTGTTATTAGAACAAATTTTGTGGAGTTTTCCCTGCACAAAGTAAGTATGTTGCTGCGCCGGCCGGACGAACGCTGTCACCTCGTGTGCTCAATGGAGTTATTGTAAAAATTATAGTTTTCCTCGTTCGACTTGTCCTTGAAATATTTAATGTTCTTGTAAGATGTGATTTTTTAATGCCCTATTAAAGGCATTTCATTCATGTTTCAAATTTCTTGTGTTACTTTCGTTCACAAACATCGTTACTCAACTTATTTGTTATTGGTCACTTGAATTTTCCAATGCCAAGTCCTTTGTTGACTGTTGTTGGAAAATTTCTGCACTAAAAATGTTGATATTTTATAAGATCTTGCCAGGCTCCAATGTTGCTTTCCAATGTTACTATTTTTCGATTGTTATCTGCTGATATTTGTAGTGCAATGGGATGTCAACGCCCGTTAGAATTCCGTTCGGCTCAAATTGTGGATTTTTTAATATAAAAAGATTGTCATATTCGATGGTTATGAAGTTCAACTCATGTCCAGAATATTTTACTATCATTTAGCCGAGTGTTTTTCAAGGCAAATATTTCATTTTTAAGTACTCCTGGGAACGCGGGAAGTACTCCTGGGAACGCGGGAAGTACTCCTGGGAACGCGGGAAGTACTCCTGGGAACGCGAGAAGTACTCCTGGGAACGTGTGAAGCACTCCTGGGAACGCAGCCGGCACTGTGCTCAATCTTATGATGTTACTAGATTTATTTCTTTAATGTGCATGTGCTCAAATATTCACTCAACAAATGCATTTATTTATGGTTACTTGTGAAAACTCGACGACGCATCTTTGCTTCACTACTCAATATTGAAGTTGATTGATTAGACGTGAATTCCCAGCTCTTGAACACTTGATATTGCTTCGTCTTCTGCTCTATTTATATCACTTGTATGTCTGTTGTCAGCAACAAAATATGCCATTCCTCATCACTGGTCTCTGTTCTTTCTCAGCTTCTTCATAATTTTAGTTTTTTTACCACTTGCGAGTAACTCATTCTATCACTCCTGTAAATTATTTAATACTCATAAGCAAGTATTTTGTTACGTCTGTTCAACCGTCTGCTATGTCGTGCCATTTGAGCGGTAAAAATTGATCACATACATCATATTCCCCAAAATTATATTTTCTCCATTGGGAAAGAAAATTTTTCTTTTTCCATCGAAATGTACGTATGATGCTAGAGCCGGTTATAAGTACTTATAGCATTAGTCTACTTAAATCAAAAGTTCAGCCAGAATTTAAAAGCAAATCAAGCGATAAGCAAATTCATTATATCTGTACTGTAACGTTTTGAAGACTAGCTCCATCATCAGTTTCAAAAATTGTGTAGAATATAAGTACAATTGACAGTAGAAATCTACAACACGAAAGGTTTCAATCTCTAAAGTAAATATTTAGGTTTTTATTGCTGATCGTATTTGTATTATTGACAATTTTGTGATTGATGATGGAGCTGGCCTCCAAAGCGTTTTCAGTGAAGTTCTAGTGAATTTTCAGAGTACTCTTTTTGCTTCAAAATTCTTGGAGCCTGGTATTATTTGCGTACTCATTTTTTCCATTGTAAAATTTAGTAATGCAATTAACCTCAGAATAATTCTAGCTTCATTGTACTTTCAAGCAGTCTATTCGGTTGGCACTTCATTCCGCTTTTGGCACTAGCAACAGAAAATATGCTTGCGTTGTATCTTACTGTATGTACTTAATAAATTATATGCGTTTTATGAAGAGTCAGTTCTGTATTGGAAGTAAGTTCACATATCTATGATTATTTGCATTTATGTTAAATGTAATGAAGTTCGAAAAGTAGCGACATTATTTGATCCAGTGGAATCGTTGTAAGATTTTATTTTTAATTGATTATTGATGATGCGCTTGAGGTAAAGTTCTCGAGTCCTGACGTTATCACGGTTGCTGAACACATTTGCGTTGTATGTTCTTGTATTATATGTGTTCACATGTTCTGCACGCATAGAAGTTCAGTTGCATTTCTCCGGACTCGTATGTGTGTTCAGTTCTTATTTGCCACTTTCTATACAGTATGCCTATAACATCATTTGATCACAAATCTCTGTTTGAAAGACGTTTCTTTTTTTTATAATTTCATACTTTTGATTACGGTAGTTTTGTAAATTAAGTGTTTTGAGTCTGCTACGTATTGTTGCGACACCGTAACTACTTGTGTAGTTTCTTTGACATGTGAGTTCGCATCACATGTGTAAATTATTCCGCTTGTGGCGTTTACATGCTGCCCAATTTTTTTGTTAATAATGATATGTTGTTCCCATGTTAAAGGTTATTGGCGAATCGTGCAGTTAATGAGTTACGAACTTTTTGGTATAATTTCTATACGTTATACTCACTAAGCATCAGCTTATTTCTCAATGCGTGCCAAAATATTTTACTTTCATCAATCTGTTCGTGAATTATACGTGTACAAATGTTTCATGTATTATCATTTTCGTTCTCTTCAATGACTTTCAATTCTATTCTATTTTTACTGGCAATCCCCATTGATACAGAAATATGCATGCGCTAGCAAGAGCCTTTTCTAGTGGACTTGCATTAACGAACAAAGGTTTACTATCTGGAACATAATAATTTCGATGACTATTATGGATGCGATAGTTGGCCCTGTCGCCCAAATCATAAGATGTTATCAGTGAGAAGTAAGTGGCCGCATGAAGCCTTAGATGGAAATTTAATATTATGTCACGAATATATTTCAAAACTCGTAAGTTTCCTTAAAAATATATCCTTCAGATAAATTTTATTTCCATTCTAACAGTATTTTTGATAATTAATTTTCAATTTATAAAATGATATGCACGTTTCGGACTGGTACATAAAAGTAGTTACAAACTTATCGTGCGGTAGATTGTGCAAGTCTGCGAGGGCCGAGGCCCTTTGCTCTCTGACGGCCACGAGCCATCGGGTTCACCTTGAAGAAGACGACTTGTGATCTCGCTAAACTAAAGAGACCCAAAATATTTGGTTCTCTGAGCACGAACTTACGTTATAAGTAATTTACAAAATTTTACGAAGAGTAAATTGTGTTAAACTGAGGACCAATTTCTCCCCGGAGTCAGTCTACGAATCTCCATGGTTGAACTACGTAGTTTCAACCATGACGCAAGGGAGAAGGGACAGGGGACAACCCTACATCCTCAATAAACAATAATAACCATGACGAATCTCAACCGGGCAACCCTTTTACTTCTTAGATTGGAGTATAAATTAAATGCGCTGCCACTAAATTCTTAAAACCTAGTCAAAAATTCTAACTAGAATATGTATACTAGCAACTAGCTGAGGTCATTTCCAACAAACAAATCAGCCTACGCCGAATTTAGAAAGATCATGGCAACTTGGAATTTGGCTAGCGTGCGAGTAGCGATTTCTGTCGATTATAGTGACAAATCAGAGATTTTTAAGAATCAGTTCATTTTCAATTTCCTCATTTACTCAAGATTTTAACCAATTTCTTAAGTATGATAATGCTGGTATCCATGATACTTTTCCGGTCTACTCATAGGACTCAAAAATGAACTCGAGACAGAGTCTAAAAAACTCTCTGCTTTGCCACTATGCGACACGATTGTCGATTAGCGTTAGCGGCTTAGCCCAGGCCAAATGCCGGGCCGCTGGGGTCCTGAGCTGGGGCGCGGGCAAGAAGTGTCGATGCGAATTGCAGTGGCGGCAAATGGGCAATAGAAAATTTGCGAAAATCAGAATAAGAATGTTGGCAAGTTCTAACCATGCCATCTAATTTAATTTGCTTGTATTTAAGCTGGGTATCCTTGACTTGCTACCGTCACTCGTCAGTGCCACTAAAGTTGCCACCCAACATGAAAAAGGAAATATTTCTTAAAATGGATGATGATGAATAGTGTTGATATTACAGATCAATATGACAAATTCTGCAAGCAAAATGAATTTTTCTTCTGTTGTTTTTTCTCGTGTTTCCATTTCAGCCTTTCAGGCAATGCTTTATAGTTTATTGCCGATGGTTGAGAGAAGCTTGAACCGTTGTCGAAAGAGGACGTTCCTGCAAACCTCTCTGTTTCCTTATCCCAGTCTCGTTCGAACTGTGATACAGTGTGGTTGTGACTAAAACGCTCCTTCGCTCGAAGCACCAGCCACCATATAAGTGTTGTGTCCAGTCACTCCAGTGACATACCCATTTACATTATTCTAGAGTATACGAGGTACTTTCAGCCCTTTTGAACCACAATAAATCATACCATGGGGCCAAGCCGAGGGCGCAATACGGCGCCCACGGCCCGGGCTAACCCTTTGGAAATGGTATAAACTAGAAACGCCAAGCCAGACTTTGCACCATAAGTCTAAGCCTTACCGCCGCTCAGCCAAACAGCTTCAGCCTGCCCCTTCTTCTACCAAGAAGCGCAGCCTTTTGCCTAACCTAATAATGCCTCCAAGCCCAAGAAAAATGCTCCAGCCAAGGAGCAAAAGCTAACAGCTTCCAAGGTCGACCTTGCCCATGAAGATGCCTCTTCAATTATTAGTGGGGTGCTGTCTGACTCGTGTGAAAGCCTTCCTTCCTCATTCTCCTGCCTCCCGCTCTGGGCCGCTCAAACTCTCACCAAGCCCTACTCAATGAAGCATCCAAAGATAGCATGAGCACCACCAATGAACCACTCAAAAAGACTACAGAAGCCTCAAGCACAAGGATAGACCTCAACTCAGCGGAAAATGCACACAACCTGCCACAAAGCACCCGCCAAGTTATTCTCACCAGCTCAGACACCCAGACTAAACTATCTTGTCTGAACCCATTCAGAATAGCCAAAGCTAAGGACGCACTGTGTGGGCCAGTCCTGAGTGTGGAACATCAGCGCTCAGGCATGGTGGCAGGGAATTATTGTGAGTACTTATGCGTTTGCAAGAGCATCGACCGGTCCGGCTCAGACCCCACGGCCAGTGTAGCTGTCAGCTGACTTTCTTCAGAAGTGCAAAAGCTTTTGCCGGTGAAGGTCACAGAAGGTGTGTTTTACGATCGGTCCGTAAAAAAGCGTTGATCGGTTCAAAATGACATAAGAACAGGTTCTTTTGAATAACCTATGGATTGCCACCATGCGCTCAGGTGCCCTGCTAATAACCACCAAGACATTAGAACAGGTACACATTTTGCTGGATGCCAAAATCCTGAAGATTGGTGAAGAATCACACCCAGTGACCAGAACAATTGCTTGGTCAACCCAGTTCTCCTACGGAAAAATATTTGCACCAGAACTTCAAGATGAATCCTTAGACTTTCTACTGACCATTCTCGAAGAAGATAAAGTAGTTGGGATCCGCAAGCTTCTAAGTGACCCCAAAAAATCCTCCGTCCCTTTATATGTCCTTACCTTCCTCAGCCCCTCACCCCCAAATGAAATACGAGTTGGCTACTGCTCATACACAGTAGACAAGTACTACCCAAGCCCACTTCGTTGTGGGCAGTGCCTCCGCTATGGCCACTCCAAACTTAGGTCACCGTTAGGTGCTTACGCCAGAGCCCCATCTGTGCCCACTGCCCCCTCAGGGGGGACTTCAGACGTGTGTCTGTGCTCATCAGAAGTCCTATGGGATTTTGCATTCCTAGGGGGATTGTTCATGAGCGCCCCACCGCTGAGCTCTCGGTGTCTGACTGTAGGTCTAAATTGTGGGGCTAAGTTATTTTGTAGGTAGGATTCCTTACATTCCCTTCTCTGTCTCTCTCGTGCGGGCGGCCGACGTCCCGTGTAAGCGGCCTCTTGTTCGAGTGTCTTTGTTTCTGTTGCTTTTCACCTGTCCCTCCTTGTCACTTCGTCTCTTTGAGATGCTAACGCTGCTTCTTTCAAGCCAGCTTCAGCGGGCTGGACAATTGAGACCTTCCGCCCCTTGTGGGTGATAAAAAATTGAGACCTTCCACCTCCATGGTGATGTTCATCTTGACTTTCGGTGCGAGATAGCTAAATAGCTGAAGCGCTAGTAAACCTTTGGCCACTAAACTAACTAACTGTGCCCACTGCAGCCAAAGTGTCACTCCCAAGAAGCCTGTCCAAACGCCCATCTTGCACCCAAATGCATAAACTGTAAAGGGCCACATCCTGCAACCTCACATCAGTGCCCATATTATGAGTCCGAGCTCCGAGCGTGCCAAACCACAACCGATGAGGGACTCAGCTTCCCTGAGGCATGAGCTAAAGCAAGAACAGAGTCCAACAATACTGGCAGCCTTGCTAACACTACAGAAGCTTGCCCAACAGCACACTCCACCGGACCAGCACACCAACAAGTTATAAGAAGCAACCACAACCAGCGCCTCTCATACACTCTGAGCAAGCATTTCCAAGCCTCTCCCAACTAATGATGAACGATCGTGCCTCCTCTCCGCCTCCTCCAACTACCGCTGCTTGGCCAGCTATAGCTTCCCAACCTCACGCAAGTAGCACTCAAACCTCAACCTGGCTCACACAAGGACAACGCACACAACACACCCCACTGTATGCAGCCACACCACTTTCTAACCTACCCATTCTCCCAAATTCCCAACCAGAAACTCTACCTGCACAGTGTACTCCTCTTTCACCAACCTCACAATCACAGCCTACAACTCTCCCCACCTCTACCTCATCCACTCATACAACACCAATTGCCTTAGACTTCACACAGCTTCTCATCAAACTATTGCCACTAATGATTCGCCTCCNACCGACGCCAGCATAAACTGCTTGGAATGATGCTCGATGCCCCACGCCTCAAATGGGTCCCTCATCTCACTCACCTGCGGGTTGATGTGATGCGGCGTATGGATTTGCTCAAGCATATGGCTTCCCCTAACTGGGGTGCAAGTTCCCGTTTCTTGCGCTTATTTTACTGTGCATTTATAAGAGCCAAGATAGATTACGGAAGTGTACTTTATGGAACAGCTTCTTCTTCGCAACTAAAGCGGCTTGAGATCCTGCAGAATGCCTGCCTGCGGCTTATACTTGGAGCTCGACGGACCACACCCCTAATGTCCCTTCATGTGGAGGCTCATGTTCCTCCTCTGAGTTTGAGACGCAGCTATCTTACTGCCAGTATGTATATTCGCCTTAAATATCGCCCAAACGGAGATAGAACCTCCGTAGTTGTGCTTGGTGACGCACCTTCAGCTCTTCAATGTGGCTCACAGATATTACATGATCTGGGCCTTCCTTTTTGTCGTGGTTATCCCACTCCTGTGTTCGATCCAGTTCCGCCTTGGCGCTGTCTGTCTTCTCTCATTTGCCTTGATTTCCAATCAAGTTCTGAGGTTGCTACACCTTGCCTCTTTACTGCTCATCTGGATGCAAAATATCCTAATCACAGAGCAATTTATTGTGATGGCTCAAAATTTCTTGATGGCCCATCTACTTCATGTGGACTCTATGTTCCGTCCAGGAAACAGGCTGCGGCTTGGAGGTTGAATCCGGCTCACA